ACTGTAAAGTGTCTAAGTGGTCAGTATATGAGTGTTCACTGTACAAGTCTTTCAAATGTTTATAATAAAATGTTAGAAAAATAAATTATGCATTACTTTTAGAGTTTTTGAAAACAGTATATATGAACAAAAGTAAAAAAAAAAATTTCAGGAAGAATAACACAGTGGCATCAGGGGCTGGTAAAAGACTGAATGATCTGTGAAACATTGTCTTTGGAACTTGTTAAAAATTGTTCCCTATTGTCTATGAATATAGATCTGCTTAGCACCAAGACTAATCAAATCAGAACAGTGGAGGTTGGCAGGGAAGTGGAATGAAGGAGCCTTTTGGGATGATGCAGTTGGCCACACTAGTAAAACCACTTACCAAATCTCACTGGGTCATACACTTAATTTCTATACTTCTTTATACCTAAATTTTATCTTAAAAGGAAAAAATAAGTATTGATTCTAGTTAATTATATGCATACTTAAGTATTTAGGGGTGACATACAGTCTGCAAATTATTTTGAAATGAATCAAAAATATGGAGTGAGTCAAAGGATGTATGAATGTGATGTAAACAAATCGTAGAATGTTAGTTGTGTGAAATATAGGTTATCAGCTTATGGTATTCACTGTACAATTCTTTTAACCTGAAGGAGGAGAGGACAAGGAACTAAGAGTCAGGATTTTGGAAGGATTATCTGTATAAATACTTAATTGCTCAGGAGTTATTACAGGAGTAAGTAGCAATGAGTACATGTAGTGCCCAGATCTTGGTCTCTAATACCACTTCCACTAAAAGGAACCAGAACTCCTTGGAGATAAGGCAGATTCCAGGTAAAGGTATTATATCAGTGTAAATTTATGAAGTTGGTAACTGAAGTTTTATAATAGCATATCTCTATTTTTAGGAAATAAACACTGAAATATTTAGGGATAAGGGACATAATGAAAAAATTTATGCATATAAGTGTGTGAGAGTGGGGAGAGGAGACAGAGAAAGAGAATACAAACAATAAGGCAAATGGGATAAAATAGGTAATAGATAAATCTTGGTAAAGTGCATATTGGTGTTCCTTGCACTTTTTATTTTTGTAATATTTTGTAAGTTTAAAATTATTTCCCCCAAAAGATGATGACAGTATTGTTGCAGAGAGACAGAGAGGGATCCACTTAGTTAAGATGTTGGACCAATTATGTTCTGTTCTGTAAGACCAAAGTAAGCAGCAGATTGTCTTAAGTTTTCAATCCTGTCTTTGGTATAGCAACATTTAATTTTTAGTTATTTCATGTTATGAATATTTTGTTTCTATAATATTTTTTCCACATAACTTTGTAGGTCTGTTTAACTTAGCCATCTTATCTTTCCCGCCTTCCGCCCCGCCTCCCCCGCACTTCCACCCCTAACCTATGGATATTGCCATTTCCCTTTAAAAACTGGATCTCTGAAGGCGGGGGGCATTCCCTCCCACACGCTGGCGGCGTGCTCGCCACTTGCTCGCCACTTGCTCGAGGTGCCTGGTGCACCCACTCAGGGTATGGTTCCTGGCTCCACCTGGGATACGAACCCAGGACCTTCTGCATGCAAAGCAGATGAGCTGATCACTACAGTATGGAGCCAGCCCCCTTAGCCATCTTATCTTAATATTAGTTTTCACAAGGCTTTCAGGGCATCCATCAGTAACCTTGAAGTGTGGAGATTTTTCTTTCTATACTTTTTTAAAGAAAGCTTTATTAAAATGTAATTCACCCATTTAAAATGTACAATTTGATGGTTTTTAGTATATTCACATTCAAACTTTTAACATTTCATCACCAACAAGAAACTTCCTACCTGGTAGCAGTCATTCGCCATTAACCTTTCTTCCACCCACTCCAATCACTATTCTAGTTTTTGTCTCTTTGAATTTACTTATTCTGGATTTCCTATAAACGTAATTATTTAATATGTGGTCATTTGTGACTGGCTTCTTTTACTTAGGATGTTTTCAAGGTTTATCCATATTAGCATGTATCAAAATTTCATTTTTTTTTTTATTGAGTAATGTTCCATTGTATGGATATATTACATTTTATTTATTCATTCATTAGTTGGTTGACATGGGTCTTTTTTTTTTTTTTTCATTCAGTTTTTTGGCTATTATGCTATGGAATAATGCTGCTGTAAACATCTGTGTACAGATTTTGTGTGAACAAATGTTATTATTTCTCTTGTGTGCATAACTAGGAGTTGAATTGCTGAGTCACTCTGAGTTTCTTTGAGGAATGGCCAGATTGTTTTCTAAAGTAGCTACTCCATTTTACATTCCCACCAACAATGTATGAAGGTTCTAGTTTCTTCACCTCCTGCCAACATTTTTTATAATCTGTCTTTTTGATTATAGCATCCCAGAGATTATGATATGGGCCACCTTTCTATACTTTTAAAACTTAAAAATATGATCAGCCCTTGGTAATAAAATGATCTCCACCCTTTCTAGCAGTGTGCCTATCTCTTCATTAAACAGAATACATAAAATAAATAGAAATAGATAACATAAGAAAAATTATTTCCCTTTCTCATTTCTTTGGTAGTTCTTCAAAATTGTTTGGAGAGAATCTCAAGAGAAGTAAAAGAGATTAGATTTAAAAAAATTGTTCAAGAACTTACAGCTTTTAAATGCCCATTATGGAAGACTATATATTTAACATCTGATCCCCTTAGTCTGCCATAACCATGGATGCCACTGACCATTGCCACTTTAATCTAATGTGGCTTATTCAGGAGCCT